ATCTTTATTTGAGCCCCTAATATCAATGGGCCCTCGTCCTCTTCATCTAGCCAATCTCAAAGTGTCTGACCTCATCTCCAGGACAGAGTTTGCTTGGAATTGGGCTCGAATCCGAGAAGGTTTGCCCATGTATGAAGGTCATATATGCTTGGAATTGGGTTTAACGCGCCATTCAGATTCCATTGTCCGGCTTCCAACCAAAAATGGAATCTATACAACACGAAGTGGATATGGTTTAAAGGATATTTCACCAATCTCATAGATCTTTCAAGAGTATGATTGGCAAAAGAACCTTTAGAAAATTTGGACCCAACCGAAAATAAAAAGCTTCTTGTCAAAGGCGGCTGTTGGAGCTTTACCGGTGGGCGAGCAACTACACATGCGCGTGATAGGAGAGAAAGTTATGTGTATCAGGTGCGGTTCCTCTGAGAGTATCAAACACTTGCTATTTCACTATCCATGGGCTCAACAAGTCTGGAGATTAGCCCCTTTGGAACCCGTGACATGGACATCTGCTCTATCCATGCTGGACTATCTTAAGGCTTCATGCTGAAGACGGGTTGTAATGCCCCCGATCATTTATAGACCAGAAACGATACTGACGAATACTTAGATATCCGGTCAGAGGTTCCTGGAACATATCCAAATTTCCTAGACAAGACTTCTAAACGTTCGTCCCTATTAGATACATCTCAAGGCTTGCCAACCCGAGACATACGCAATGGTTAGTTCGTCCGAACAAGGACTAGTATCACATGAAACCCGAATTTATGCAAACTCGATTTTTTTTTATATATAATTTATACATAAGTTTTAAACGTGATACAAGCATATACAATTATGAGTCTAACACTCCAAAACGATCATGTACATAATAAACATTATTCATTTACAAAAGGCAAGGAAACTACTGCTGAAATTCCTAACGTTCCTTTGGCCCCCGGTAGTCTACCCGCTAATGGTTACCAGCAACACAAGTAGAGTCGTGAGCACTAGTTGCTCAGTGAGTCTAGGCTCCCCT